AATTGACTTCGCTGTTTCGAGAGATGATGCAACCTAGGAACTTCTCATTCAAATTCTGTTTGAACGTCCATTTTCGTAATAGATTTTGATAATTTTAACACGTTGTTTGATTGTTAATCATTCCATGTTTGAAATCACCAAATACTTAAGTTTTTAAATCAGAAAGGAAAAGAAAAAAAATATATAAGACGCTTAAACTTAATTCACATTTAAAATCGGTCCAAGTTATTGGGGCGCACTTTAGTTTTAGTCTCGACCGAAGTGCAGGTGCAAGTCTTGTTGGGTGTTATTTCTTTATTTCCGTTTTCGTACTGATTGCGATCAAAGACTTTATCGACCTAGTGTACTGAGATAAGCATAAAAAATATGGTGTATCATAAGTAATTTCGTTTCATTTTTTAGACATTAAATCCAAAGCTTATTTGATTTATTTATCGACAAACTCTCAATGACGCTATTATTATTATTATTATTATTATTATTATATAAGAGTGCTTGTCTCTCCATTCATTAGTTCCTTAGTTCCCTTGACCGTTATACCTGCTAACACCTCATAAATAATGGACTATTCCGTTTTGATCGCGTGAGAAGACAAAAGACATATCAAAGACGCTACTTGGTTTCAGTCAGAAAATGAAAAAAAAAAAGGAAGTGTTGAACGGCTGTTTTAGTGAAAGGGAAAAAGTTGCCAATTTCAAATTTCCTCCTTACTTCTTAAAATAACGACCAGCATTCATATTTATGATTGTCATTGCAATATTTTGGTAAATTTGTTAAGCTCAAATATTTAACGAAGGGATAGGGGAATTTCTACGGATATTTTACTGTCGTAGAACTCGCCACGAGCTTATTTAATCATTAACTGAAAAATTAAGTTTAATCACAAAATTCAAATATGAAAACCGTGAAATTTTCACGGGTTATAACTAATTATTACTATCAGCATGGCCCGGCGTTGCCCGTGCTTGATTCAAAAATCGTACGACTCATACAGCAATCGCTATCACATGACTTAAAATATTTTTGCCCTTCCTTGCCTTTAAAGAAGTGACCTTTGCCATGCTGATGTTGCTACATGCCTTACTTGCCTATCTCACACTGCGAATTTTTGTAAGCTCTATACTAAACATTAAATCTGTTACGAAAAAAGAACTAAACAAAATGAATACAAAACGATCAGCTTTAAAAAAGTACTCGTAACTGGAAAAATCGAATGAAAAAAGAATGTTAACAACAAATACTTTTCACACCCAACCCAGTTCTGCGAAATCAGAATCAACGTTGAGTTTTAAGCAAGCGAATGAGCCAATTGGACTAAAGTGCCATGCAGATTTAAATTTTTCCCAATGCAGCTATCGATATTTTTGCATGCTAGTTAACATTCGTGTCAGTCAGCTGTTGGCTCTCATGCTGGCCAATAGAATCTTCCTGCCTATTCGTGGCAGCCAACTATAGGCTCTCACTCTGGCCAGTCCAAAATGGCCGCAAACTACATGAAAACTGCCGTAGAAGGATGGAAAAATCGATTATTTCCACTATCGGTCTTCCCGCTAACTTGGATCATGTGCATGTAAATTTTGTCGAAAATTGCGGCCGTGCATTCGTTACACACACACACACACACACACACACACACACACACACACACACATCCTGCCTTTTATAGATAGAGATTATTATCATTATTATTGTACAAACAAATAATTTTTTGTAGATTTTTGGAGATTTTTATACTTGTATACTGTCGAAATTATGTTACACATTCTTAAGCTGTATTTTTCGTTTCTTTTTCTTTTAAATCACGCTAAGTGCTGGAAAATATTGGACGAGTTCCGTGAATCATTTTTACTATTATTATTATTATTATTATTATTATTATTTTCTTTTGATTTCTTTTGCATACACATTTCCTTCTGGGTCCCAACACGAGATCTAAGGTCAGAAATGTCTTCATCACGTTTTGCACTGATCATTTTTGTAAAAAAAAGAAAAAGAAAACCTAATATCACACACATTTTACATACATAAAGATCTTCGTAATATGTGTGCTGTACATGTTTTGTATTTCTTTAAGGGATGGGATACCAGGAATCTATCAGAACCATTTCTTTAAGGCATGGGCTACCAGAAACGAGTCTATCCGAACTATTTTCAATCCATCCGAGTTCTCCAAAGACTACTGGAAATATTAAAGTCCCCATGTGCCATAGTTTTGAGATTTCCATTTAAAGATCCTTGTATTTTGCTAATTTTTTTAAGGATATTCAAAGATACATTACAATCTGCAGAAACTGGTTTTGTTTGGCTTGTTTTCCTTGACGGCATATCAACCTCAATGTGTTATTTAATGCGGACAAGATTTTTTTTTAATAGAATATGTACTCTTTATGAGAAATCCCTTTGTAGATCAGGATTTTGCAAAGAGGGTTTTTGCTGAGAGTCTGGTTTCATTGATTTATTCTTTTCAGAAATACGGTTGTTAGAGAAGTTGTTTTTTTTTTAACATTCTTATTTGGTTTATATTTTTTGGTAGAGGCCCACTGTTTCAGGAATGATAGACTTATAGATATGTAAAATAGGTTCTGGAGAAAAAAAAAGTTATAACACCCGACATGGTAAACCAACTTTCTTAATAGGTGGCCTAGCTGTGGATTCAGTATAGCCTTTCCCCATAATGTCAGCTGAGAACGTTAGTCCAAAACGAGTCACTTTCCTGGAGGATAGCATCAGCCGGAAGGCAGAGAGGGATCTCTCAGATGATTAATGGAGAAATGTTTAGTTTTTGAGGCGTTAAAATTAACAAGACATCATTTGCCTCAATGAACTGATAAGTCTTATGCTATATACGGTATCTATGAACACTAATGAGTATGTCCCAATCCTCATAGATACGTTGGACACTATTGTAAGTGGGGGTAGTATGCTGTCTACGTAGTCCAACATTAGCAGTGGTTTACCTGCTTCACGCCGCTGGCGAGTATTGTCTTTTGTTGATGCCATAAAGATTACCATTCCATTTCCAACCTCCGTTTTGGTTATTCCTCATTCAGTAACATTTTCTAAGTTACAACACCTTACTATCGAGGCACAATTAAATTATTGTGTCATCAACATAATCAGGAAGGCCATTAATGAAAATTAAAAACAAAGCAGGACTAAGATGGAGCCCTGGGGGGGGGCATCCGCGTTAGTACAAAAGGATCTAGACGAGTGGCCATTCACGAGATTCCTTTTAAATATACATTTGATAGAGAAATTGATTTTATTGACATTCTCGTTTAGTTTATTTTTTTTTTTTTTTTTTTTTGGCAGAGGTCCACTAATTTTTTTTTCAAAAATGTATTACTGTATTTTTACTATAAAAACCTATTTTTACACTTTCATAATGTTTTTGACTCCAGTTTGGGGTTTAACTATTTGTCCATAGCTTAGGCCCTAACAGGTGCTACTACTTCGTGTCAAGGTGGACCGGGGAGCAACAGTAATTAAGAGGTGGTTCCATGCTTTTCAAAACCTCCTGATCAGAGGCCTTTGCTCCCGGATGTACTTTATCGTCATAATCTGGACGTCGGCAGAGACTGACATGTCAATAAGAAAGTCCATTCTGTTCTTGTGGCCTTTGATCACGATGTCTAGACGATTAGTTTTGTTCTGTCTGTGTGTATTGTAAGGTTCCATAGTATTATTATTATTATTATTATTATTATTATTATTATTATTATTATTATTATTTCCTTTAGTTTTTGATGTATATTCATTTCTTTCCGGCATCATGACATTTTCTACTAAGCAGTTTTGAAAAAGAAATCGCACATGTTTTTCATAGACAAAGCCTTCTGTAAGGTGTTGGCTCTAATTGTGGCTACAATTTTTTGTATTTCATTAAGGCATGGGCTACCAGGGTTTTCTTCAATGAGTCTATTGGAATTTTTTTTAATCAATCCGAGGGCTTCAACTACAACAGGGATTGTTAATGTCCTTATGAGCTACAATTTTGAGATTTCAGTTTCAAGGTCCTTGTATTTTGATAGTTTTTTTTTTTTTAAGATCTTCAAAGATACATTAAAGTCTGTAGGGACTGTCATGTCAATAAGGAGACACATTTTGTCTTTGCCGCCTCTAAGCACCATGTCAGGGCAATTAGCTCTGATTGTTCTGCATGTGTGTATATTAAAGTCCCATAAAAGTCTGTGCAACCGGATCTGGGTGGTGTCCATACCAATTTCTTGCAGTTTCCTTTCCGTAAGTGTTACAGATTTTCCAGTACAGATATTGGCTCACTCTGTCATGTCGTGTTTTTATTCAGTGGGCGCCAATACCACTGCACAACCTGATACAAGTTGATCAATTGTTTCTTGATATTTATCACAGAATCTTCATTTTGGGTTAACGCATATTATTATCATTTTGGGCTAACACATATTATTATTAATATTATTATTAAACAAAATTCTTTTCGCTTTTAAAAATACTTTACTCCAAAGCTTATTTGCTGTACACATTTAAAGGCTATCTATGAGTCCAATATATCATTGATGTTATTTTTCTTATATATTAATAAATATCAAAAGTATTTTCCTTTTTTTGACAGACTTTTACTCCTTTATCCCAACATCTAAAGACAATCTATGAATATATTATTAATATCATTGTCATTTATCCCTTTCTGAGGGATCACGTTTGATGCACGCTTGGGCGACCATGTCTCTTTTCGATTCATGATTGATTTGTTTTCTTTACGGCTTATCAACCCTTTGTATGTTATTTAATGCCTGAAAATATTTTTAGATTGTCAGATGTTTTTGGAGATAATAATGATTTACTGATACAAGGCCTACTACTTAACCCATAGCTGGGGGGTTAAGAGCAAGATCCATACCCTTTCCCATGGATATTTGTGCGTAAGTGAATATAACGAACCCGACTCGAATTGGAACTCGGCTTTCCGACTTCGAATTCCGAGCCGTTATCGATTACACCATCCGCACACCCAACCTCAGAGCACATGGTATTCCCAAACGGTTAACTATCTAGATACTGAACAGGCGCGACGTTGCTTAACTTCAGAAGTCGTACGAGAACAGGTGTTTCAACGTGATATGGCGGTAAGCCGATTCATGATTTACTTATAAATCTAAAATTCTACTAGACATAAAGTGGGGGATTGTTTTCATATTGTCATTAACTAATAAATTGATCACCCCATAATTTCTACATTTTAGTATTTTTCCTTAGGTAACATGCGTGATGCACGTTTGAGCTATTGCGTCTATATTCGGTTCATGATTGACATAACAGAAGAATCCCTGCAGTGGGCTGCCGTTAGACTGGTTGCCAACCAAGGCTATAGGACCAGATCTGTTCTGCTATTTACCTTATACCTGGTGGTGGTGGGAGAAAAATGAATTCATTCTTTACCCCGGAGTATTTAGAAGATATGCCCACAAATATTTAATTTTGTAATGTTGGTTTTCCCCCTCCTTTTTTACTCCCAAATAAGCTACTGAATTGTTTTCTGATTTCCCAAGTAAATCATTTTTCTTCATAAGTTGTCTAACATCGCCTGAGGAGGGACAAATTTAATATTCCGAAACATAGAAATTTTTGTATAGCGATGTAAAACGTTATAATAAAAATATAATATATATATATATATATATATATATATATATATATATATAAACTTGAACATTGAAGTCAACACTCAGAGCTGACTGTGGACCGCAACGTTCACTTTTATATTTATATTTACATACGCTTTATCTCTGATATTGAGCACTTTATCCGATAAATATACCACACCTTATACTATATTTCTTCATATATATATATATATATATATATATATATATATATATATATATATATATATATATATATTTATATATATATATAGTGTAACCGGATATAAGAGAGTTGTCGGGACCGGAGAAGTCTCTTATATCCGGATTTGGTCTATTTTATATACATTAACACAGACTCTAATTTGGGACCAGAGAAAATCTCTCTTATATCCGGGTTACACTGTATATATATATATATATATATATATATATATATATATATATATATGTGTGTGTGTGTGTGTGTGTTTCATTAAAGACGACTGACAAGTTTCTGCGATTAAGCTTTCTATTCCGTTTTTCTTACAAGTATTTTCTTTTCTGGGCATAAAGTGTGTAAAACTTTTACAAATGTTCTATATATCCGAGCGCTATTTTATTAGTCATTATCAAGGATGTCTTTTTTATGTATTTTGAACTGAACAGGGAGATTTTTATTTATGTGTATCAATAGTGCCTGCAATGTTTCCCTTTTATTTTCCAAACACGGTCAATAAATTGTGGCCGTTTTCATAGTTGATATTATTGAGTGTTGGCTTTTTATTATTCTTTTATTATTTATTATTAATGCGAGTAAGTTTCCTTTTTTTTGTAAAAAAAAAAAAAAAAAAAATTAGCGAAAAAAGGAGAACAACATATCACGATTCGTACAACCAAACAAATTAATACATATATATATATATATATATATATATATATAAATATATATATATATATGAAGTATTGAGGCATATGTGAATATAACGAACCTGACTAGAATTCGAACTCAGTACTCCAATTTCTCATACGGAGCCGTTACCCATCACATTACCCGCACATCCAAGCTGACAACCACTTGTATTCCAAGTCGGGGATTAATTTTACACTATAACGTGCTACGAACAGGACCCTCTTCTAAAAGGATAAAACCCTAATATTTTTCGATTCTGACCTATGTAAGAATGTGTTTACACTTTCTTTTTATGTACAATGTCCTTTTAGGACCTCCACCACCTCCCTCTATCCCTTGCCGCTCTCAAAAAGTCCCTTCCCTATGTTTCCTCCCCCAGACCACGTTCTGCCATCCACCTGCTCAAGCACCCCAGGTATGTCAGGCGCTGCTTGCCCATGTTTCTCTTTCCTTCTATTCGACATGTGAGTATCAGATTCGCCAGGCCGTCCTCCTTCATTATATGTCCCAGAAACATCAACTGCCTCTTCCTGATGTTATGTATAAGCCTTCTCCTTGTTTGCAACCTCTCTACGACCTTATCGTTGCTCACACGCTCGGCCCATGATATCCTTAGCATCCTTTTGTAGAACCAAATCTCCGTCGCTTCGAGTCTCTTCTTCATCTTTGAGGAAATCGTCCAACATTCGCTGCCGTTTCCTTATTCACCGATCAATCAGCATAATTTCAGCATAGCAACAGACGTTAAAATCAAGCGCGTTAAATACAATATTCTCATTGGTTAACAACAACCAATGAAACATCTTGCCGCTAAAATCCAAACCGCTGTCTGGGAGCCAATCCTCGCCACACAAAGACAGTCAAGGGTAAGACATTTCAAGAAGGCATCTCACGAGCCACCCGACTTCTCTGTAGACGGGAGGTAAAAGCACGTCAGATCCAGTAAAAGTTTCCCCTAGGGGAAGGCAGTGCTCGAATCCTGTCGTAGAGAGCATATTTTTCTGTAATAAATTTACTGGAATATTCAGGCGGTAGACGAAAATAAATAAAAAACGGAATGTCTACTCAAATACGAGTAAGCACTAAATATATATGATGGCTGTCACCGCGATTTGTATATATATATATAAAATTATGTAAAATAAAGCATAACTCTTCATTGCCAATTCAAAAAAGACATTCGGATTACTAACACAGAAACAGAGAATGTCTCATATCGAGAATATTTAACATTGAAAAGCATAAGGAAAAAATTAATTATTTTTAATAATATGTGGAAATCTCCGCTTTTACCTGAAGACGGTCACGCGACCAGAAACACGTGTAGTAAAACGTGTATGGAAAATAAAGCATAATATTTTTTTCTAAAACAACACATTATAAACAAAAACGTTTGCGGCACCATTCTTCTATTCTTTGTAATATACATACTTTTCTCTCGTTGGAACCACTAAAACCTCTTTTTTTTTCTTTATATATATATATATATATATATATATATATATATATATATATATATATATATATATATAAAAATCAGGAGGTCAGTTGACTCCGCAAACTTGTTTCCAGCCTTACGGTATCCTCAGGCGATTATATCAAATGACCTCTTAATGTTTTATTTAAAAAAAAAAAACTAATGGACGCTACATTATCTTTTAACAAAATAAATAAACAAACGCACGATATTGAGTGTAATAAAGGGGTAGACTGATAAAACTCTGACCATTAACTTTATATATATATATATATATATATATATATATATATATATATATATATATATTTTATTATTTAATCATTAACAGATTGTTTCAAGCAATGCGATTTTTTCAAAATGGCCAGTTGTTAAGCTTGGATACTTAAGAACTCTACAGTCCTTTTTGACGATAGTAACCCCATGTGTCTTAGTAGCTTTGTTGCCTTATTTTGGGGTGAAATGGTTAGAACAAAAAATCTATTACTTAATAAGCAGAATTGATATCCGACATTATTTTTATTTACAAGAAGACATTATCTCATCTTGATCATCCCCTTCTCCTCCAAAATTCATTCCAGTATCTGCATGATATCAGCAACAGAAATATGTCTCTACAGAAGGATGCTGAGAATACCGTTGACGAAATATGCGAGCAACGTCGAAGTTCTAGAGACAATGACAAGAAAAAATAAAACGTATACTTAACATCAGGAAGAAAAAGTTAACATTTATAGTTCACGTAATGAGGAAAGAAGGCTTGGAATATTTGACACTTACTGGTCAGATTGATGGTAAAAAAAGACAGAAGGAAGTGACGCACAACCTACCTGGCTAGCTGGAGTGAATGGGCAACGGAGCAGAATACGGGTGGGATGGCAAAAACGGAAACGTTATTAAGAGCAACAAGGGACAGGATATTTTAGAGAGCCATGATCTCAAATGTCATAAAAAGGACACGGCATTTAGAAGATTCATTTCCTTTTGCAATCATCTCTATATTCTGTTCCCTCTCAACTCATTTAAAAAACAATTCCTTCATAACTCGCTCATTCTTGATCCCTTCTCAAGCCTCTCTTTTCATCCAATGCTAAAAACATTCCTTCAAGGTCCAAGGATTCTCAAATGTACTGAACCCAATAGCCTATATATTTTCTGTCCTTTCTCCGTAGTGCGAGCGCCCAAGGTTTGCATCAAAGTAATATGGTTGATCCATCTGCCAAGTCATTGAATGACACAGCATAGGTGAACTCAAGTCAGGAGTCACGAGTTGCGCGGGCATTTTAGTTCAGCTTGAAAGCACATCAGTGGAATGAGCCAAAAATGCCAGTCATACTTTCTTGCTTGCTTTCTTTCTTTCTTTCTTTGTTCATATCTATCTTTGTCTGTGAATTTCTATCTATCTATCTATCTATCTATCTATCTATCTATCTATCTATCTATCTATCTATCTATCTATCTATCTCAGTCAGCTCGCTATCTATCTATCTATCTATCTATCTATCTATCTATCTATCTATCTATCTATCTATCTATCTATTTCAGTCAGCTCGCTATCTATCTATCTATCTATCTATCTATCTATCTATCTATCTATCTATCTATCTATCTATCTCAGTCAGCTCTCTATCTATCTATCTATCTATCTATCTATCTATCTATCTATCTATCTATCTATCTATCTATCTCAGTCAGCTATCTATCTATCTATCTATCTATCTATCTATCTATCTATCTATCTATCTATCTATCTATTTCAGTCAGCTCACTATCTATCTATCTATCTATCTATCTATCTATCTATCTATCTATCTCATTCAATTCATTATCTATCTCTCTATATCTGTAGCAGTCTGTTCATCTCCCCTCCTCTGTATATATATATATATATATATATATATATATATATATATATTGCCGTCACATCTGTTTTCGTCATTCTGCTATATATTTAGAAATAAATGACAAAATACGGTGAAGTACTTTAGTAACTTGACTCTAAAAATTTAAGCGCAGTGCTCGATTGATAGCTAGATCTCAGCATTTTACGGTTGAAATTGATGTAACAGTAAGTTCTATGGTGGGACAAAATTTCTAGTGCTTCCAGTTTCTTCTT